TTAAAAATGACAAATATTATAGAATTTAAACTTTATTGTTATAATATAAACCTACATGATATTATGTATTATATTTTGTTTACCTCCAAGAAGTCTTCCATATTTTTCATTCCATATCCATGGGTAGTTGGTTTTTTTCTCCTTGACAATAGGAAAGACACTCCTGCTATACCGAAAGAAGCGAAGGAAATTCCTATCAAAAATTAATTATAACCCCTCCCGAAAAAAATTCTGGATACGCCACTATGCTGGTACCTACACAATAAATTTGTGTTCTGTGAAATTATCTAATAAGGCACGGTTGTGAAGAGGACGGTACACTTAAAATTTCAAAATTTTAAAACTTGAACACCTAACTTTTTTTTTAGTTCTGATATCGAAAAAATAAAAACTGTTGCACAGTAAATTTAATGTTCTCCTCTTTATAATCAATGATATTTATTGGTTGCTTAGCTTGGACTACAACCAGTTACGGTTTTGATAAAACATCAAGGGGGGGGCATATTTTAAATTGCTGGGCCTCACCCACCATAATTAAAGCAATTTAGTGTATTTTCAATTAAAAAAAAGGTGGGCAAGTGGGTGTCGCTCTGCTGTACAGTAGGTTACAAGTGGGTCACTGTATAATGGATGGTATTAAATTTGAATTCAATGATATAATATCATTGTATAAGAAAAACGATTCTGAGCGGTGACGGTATGTCAGTCTATGTATAAGACATATAATATACATATCTATGGTATTAAACAAAAAATTGACCTATAATAGGTACCTATAATAAATTACAAACTGATCATATCACAATATCCATTAGATACTTATAACGCGTTATACATCAACAAAAACCGTGATACTATCATAGATATATAATAGTACACTTTAGAAGTTTCAAGTACCCACGAATAATATTATTCAATCAAAACAAAATAACTAAAATCGTAATTCTTGGTTTAAATATGAAATTTTGTCTAAATTTGAAATTAAAATGTCTGTAAAAAATAAGTGTGTTCATATATTTTTTAGATTTTTTGGTTACAGTATGAATTATTTAAGAGAATATTTGTTTTAAATTTTCAACTCTTAGTTATAAAAACTGAACATTTTATAATTTTTTAATTCCAACGATTGATATATTTCGAGATTTTGATAAATTTTGTCAAAATTCCAACTTTAAATGCTTATAAAAAAAAATCATGCCTATGTATTTTTAATATTTTTCAACTTCTATTGTAACAATATATCAGGAGCCTTGTATTAAATTTTTACACTTTTTGGGCCAACAGATACACCTTTATTGATATTTATAGAAAAAAAAACTAAAAAAAATTGAAAGCTGTAAATGTCCATAAACAGCTCAAAAAGAGTCAAAATATTTTCAAAATTGTATGGTGTATAGAAAATGCTAATTTAAACATTCAGTGAAATTTTCATGTATCTACAGTTGTTCGTTTTTGAATTGCAACAAAATAAGGAAATCGCTACATGAGTAATCGAGTGAAAATCCAATGTTGTAAAAATTTGAATTTCAAACGCTCATAAAAATTTAATTTGACTGTCCGGTAGAGATTTTTTTATTGATAAAGGTAGATAATCTTATAAGGAATCTTGTGTTTCATTTTCAAATCTTAGATTTAAAAAGAAAAATTTTTACGAATTCTTAACTCAAAATAATTTGCTAATTTTCGTGATTTTTCCATATTTTGTCAATTTTTGAACTTTAAATGCTTATAAAAAAAAATTGTGACTAAGGATTTTTAATATTTTTCATCTGCCTTTGAAACAACATATTAAGAGCCTTCTATTAAATTTTCAAGCTTTCGCAACCAATAAATAAAATTTTATTGATATTTTTAGAAAAAAAACTAAAAAAAAATGGAAAATGAAAATGTCCCTAAACAGTTCAAAATAAATCAAAATATTTTGAAAATGTTATCGTGTATAGAAAATGCAAATATAAACAACCAGTGAAAATTTCATGTATATACGTTCATTTGTTTTAGAGTTACACCAATAACCAAAATCGATTTTTTGGAAAACCAATTTTGCGTAAAAATTCCCGTTTTTCCTTAATTTTTATGTTGTTTTTCCCGGCGCTTGTGAAAACTACTGTGAAATTTATACTTTTGACCCCCCAAAGTACCAACTAGATTCACTTTCCTACCAGAAAAGCTACTGATGAAGAAAATCCAAGCATTTTTACTGTCCTAAAACGTGATGACAGACACAAAAATATAAATAAAAATATAAAAAAAAACATACATCATTGTAAAACCAATACATTCATCGCTCCGCTCAGAATCTAAAATGTGGGTAAGTGGATGTCGCTCTGCTGTACAGTAGGTTACACGTGGGTCACTGTCATGGATGATGTTAAATTTTAATTCAATGATATCATATCATTGTATAGGTAAGAAAAACGATTCTGAGCGAAAACGGTCGGTCAGCCTATGATATTACCAAGTATATTTGATGATATTATTGTGAATAAAGTAATTTATATACCTATAACCTTTTTACGTGGAACCTTGTTTTAAATTTTTCTTATCTATAAAAGTTGAACATCTTATAAATTTTTAACTACAAAATAATTATTACATTATAAATTTGATACATTTTGTCAAAATTCGACCTTTAAATGCTTATAAAAAAATTGTGCCAATGTATTTTTTTTATATTTTTCAACTGCTATTGTAACAATAAATCAGGAGCCTTGCATTAAATTTTCAAGCTTTTTTACCCAACAAATAATATTTTATTGATATTTATAGAAAAAAAAAAACTGAAAAAATTGAAAACTGAAAATGTCCGTAACAGCTCAAAAAGAGTCAAATTATTTTCAAAATTTGATAGTGTATAGAAAATGCTAATATAAACATTCATTGAAATTTTCAAATATACAGTCATTTGTTTTTTTATTTACAACAAAATAAGAAAATCGTTACATGAGAAATCGAGTAAATATCAAATGTTGTAAAAATATGAATTTCAAACGCTCATAAAAATTTAATTTGAGTTTTTTGTAGACATTTTTTTTTTTTGATAAAGGTAGACAAACTTATGAGGAATCTTGTATTACATTTTTCAAATCTTAGATTTAAAAAGAAAATTTTTTATGAATTTCTAACTCGAAATATTTTGCAAATTTTCGTCATTTTTACGTATTTTGTAAATATTTGAACTTTAGATGCTTAGAAAACAAAATTGTGAGTATGGATTTTTAATTTTTTTCATCTGCCTTTGAAACAATATACTAGGAGCCTTCTATTAAATTATCAATCTTTTTTAACCATAAAAGCAACAAATAAAATGTTATTGATATTAATTATAGAAAAAAAACTAAAAAAAATGGAAATTGAAAATGTCCGTAAACATCTCAACATTTCAGTCAACATGTCATGCACCTACGGTCATTGTCATTTGTTTTAGAGTTGCACCAAAAAACAAAATCGTTTTTCTCAAAAACAGATTTTGCGTAAAAATTTCCGTTTTTCTTAATTTTTCTTTTGTTTTTCCCGTCGCTTTTGAAAATTACTGGGAATGAGCGCCCCCTTCGCCCCCCCTAAAAACCGCCACTAACTACAATACAGACCAGTGACCACTGACTACAGCTATAGTGGTTCTCAGTTCTCGCCTGACATCCGTGCAAAACAATTTTTGTAATGTATTTATGTAAAATATGTAAAATAATAAATTATAAATTACATAATAAATTATGTATAATACATCAATTGTTTACATAAATAACCTGAAAAATCATTTGAATTAGTTGAAATCTAAATAATGTAAAGGGTGTGAGTAGTCCTACAGTATCTATATTTTGTAAAAAAATATGTTAAATGTATGTAGGTAAGTATGTAAGTTATATTATATACATATAATAAATCAATAGTTTTGTTAATTCCTGAAGTATAGGTATCTATACCGCAATTATTGCAGAAATCTAATAAATAAAATTATTTGAAAAAATATTCTTATTGTTTATTCTCACAAATAATAAATAATATACTCAGTGGTATTTTTATATTATGTTACCTACCTGTTAAATGATATATTAAACAATTTAGGAATTATTAAGAGCACGCCACACCCACATGTGTTGTCTTCGTCTTACAAACGCGTTATGTACCAAATTTACGCTCTGAAATTCACGTTTTATGTCTTTAGCTTAAAAATTAGAGTGAATCGACCTTTTATGAAACTTGATGGTAAGAACATTATCTGTGTTTTGTTGTAAGTTTTCATACGACAATTCAGTTTTTTAGTGAGTTATGAGCATTTTTCATTTCCATTTATTATACCCGCTAGTCGCTATAACTCACTTGAAAATTCAATTATCATAAAATTACTTCCAACAAAACACAGATAATGTTCTTACCATCAAGTTTCATAAAAGGTCGATTCACTCTAATTTTAAAGCTAATGACATAAAACATGAATTTCTAAGCGTAAACTTGGTATGTTACGAATGTACGCGTTTCAGCATATTTTGTAAGACGGAGACAATACATGCGGATGTGATATTAACATAATATCAATTTCCATGTATGTATACAAATTAATACATATTTATGACTCTATATTCTAAGATGGAATATATAAATTTTACATAATATATCATATACCTATCATATTTCTGATTTCAATTACAATAATAATTTATTGTCATATTTATTTTAATTTTTGTTTGCCGCTAAAATATTTTAAATTTTATACATAACCTTAATAAAGTTCTGTTCGAGGCGCCTATCGGAGGTTATTATCTATGTGTACAACAAAACTGCTGTACATGATAAGCCAAACCAATTGTTTTATCATGCTGCTGTATTTTGTGATTACAACAATTTACAATATTATTGAATAATAAATTATTACAATATAGTTATTGTTTTATGTTTACTTTTGTGTTTTTTACTTTTTTTTTGTGTAAATAATTGTTCTCAAGTCTCAATTGAACACGTTTTTTTCTGTTTGAAATTAGCTAACTGGGGAGAAGTCAATAATGTCTTTGTATGACGATTTCGATGTCGTTAAACAAAAATCTGACGGCTGGTCTTCGGGCATGAAGCTCTTCCAGTCGCAAATGCAGTTGAAAAAAGCAGCTCAAACTCAGGTTTGTGAATCGTTTAATTTAAATTTTACCTTCTCTTATGATGGTTAAATAAAAAAATGTTATCAGCTTTAACTTAAACAAATTAATTAATTTGATAGAATATTTAAAGTTCTACTGTTAAAGACAAGGATATTTTTATTTATAATTTTATTATATTTTACTTCTAGCCAAGAAGAGAAGCAACCCGTAAATCCACATCAGTTTTAGCACCAGTAATTGATTTAAAGAAAAAAGATGATGACGAATCCATGTTTGACCCAGGACTTGGCTTTACAATTTTTCCCATGGCCCGAGTAATAAAAATATATTTAAATAAATAAATATATATATTATATATATATGTTACCTACTACCTATGAATATACTATTTATCATCAAATCATGTCATAATGTATATATTGATGCAAAAAACACCAATAGGAAGGAAAAAAACCACAACGTCCATCATTTCCACCTATGGATTGGACTTTTGATGGCAATGAATATGACCCCATGATTCCAAATGATTACGAAAGAGTTGTTAGAGGTAAGCGTAATTAATAGAAACATTCTAAGGTTTTAATAAATTAAATAAATTTTAAATGTATTAATAATTAGATTTAAGAGACATGCGAGATAAAGAAAAAGAAAAAGAAGATGACGAAAGACGAAAACGAAGAGAAGAGCGAAATAAAAATAGAGACCCGTAAGCTATATAACTATCCATAGGGTACAATTAGTATGAATTCTAATTGATCTTTACTTTAGTGGTTACAATATGATGGATTTACCAGCTGGCTTTACACCCAACACAGATGAAAGACGCAAAACAGGATTTACCGGATTTGGTGGACGTAAAGATAGTGATAGCGAAGAAGATGAACCAAAACCCATGAGTAGAATCCCTGGTGCAGCAATCGCTCCACCACCATCATTGCAGGAATCATTTGTATCATCACCTGGACCTCAACAGTCTTCTGGAATTGGCATGGGCATGGGTGTTGCTGCTAAAATAATGGCCAAATATGGTTTTAAGGTAATACAATCTCATCACTTGATACCTACTTCAATTGTTATTTTTTTTGTGATACATGAGTTTAAAATTATACGTAAACCACTGATAAAAGTAGTAAATTAAATGTAGGATGCTGTAGTACATACATATAATTCAAAGTATTTTTATCAGTACCTTAAATGAGTATTGGTCAGTGGCGACTCATCATGGGGTTTTTATAAGGTGTAATACAAACATTTTTATGATATGTAGGGTGTCAAAAAAAACAACTTTTATAGTCACATATCAACAATAATATACTTTTATTTATTTGTTTTAAACCTTTGGAATGGTAAAATAAAAATAAATTGAGTCAATTGAGACAAATAATATATGGTGTATATTATTTTAAGATGTTAGGCAAGTGGTTGTTTTTGATGATTGTCGATATGATGTGGGCGCTTGCCACAATAAAAATAAGTTTAGTACAAAAGTGTATTGTGCTCTGAAATACCCTGTTATTGTTAATGTGTGACATATTTTTGTTGAGTGGTTCGGCTGTTCCTGTGCACTATAGTACTAGCTGCCAACAGTATTGATTGATAATATATATTATAAAGTAACATAAATATAAATAACTGGAAATATTTTTTGGTTATTGTCTAGGAAGGACAAGGATTGGGGAAGAAAGAACAAGGTATTTCAGTGGCTTTACAAGTAGAAAAAACAAGTAAAAGAGGTGGCAGGATTATTCATGAGAAACCAGGTGGTAATGTTTCACCACCACCTATGACTTCTATGGCTGCTATGATACAAGATGATTTTGTAGCACCTGCTCCGCCACCTCCTAAACCTCTACAAAGTATCACAGAAATAATGAAAGAACAATCAAAGGTAATACTATATAATAGTTTTTTATTTTTAAATTAGACATGTACTATTAATTCGGATACTAATTAAATAAAAATAGGTAGTACTACTACGAAATATGGTTGGACCTGGTGAGGTTGATCAAGATCTTGAACCTGAAGTAAAGGATGAATGCAACACTAAATATGGGGATGTCAACAAAGTAGTTATATACGAAGTTCCAAATGTTGATCATGAAGAAGCTGTACGAATATTTGTGGAATTTAAACGTATAGAATCAGCAATCAAAGGTAACATCATTGGAAATATATATATATTTCATAATTAAATTTGAATTTTATTTTATTACAGCTGTTGTAGACCTAAACGGTAGATTTTTTGGTGGTAGACAAGTAAAAGCTGGATTTTATAGTGCAGAAAAATTAAATAGCTATCAGCTCCTCGATTAAAACAAACAATTTAATAATATAAACAATAATTGCATTGTATAATAATTTTAATATATTTGGACAAATTTTTAACAATAATTTTCTGTATATAATAGATTAGGTTTTTTCTATTTTAATATAACCTTATATGTATGCCTCAGATCAACCTGCCTGTATTGCAGACACCCTTGTTGCCGATTATGCTGATGATCTCATGAATTCATGATAGTCCTCTTATAGCTATGGCCAACTTACAACCTCAACTGATCCTTTTTTCTGTATGGTACTCTAAATGGAGAATAAAATTAAACCACAACAAATCTATACAATATACTGTTTTGGTGGATAACATACCTATATCTTCATCCAATATCATTAAATATTTAAGCCTTCCACTAGATAAGAGATTAACATAGAATCAACACATAAGGACAAAGATATCAACTGTAAACTCTCTTTCTTGAATGCTTAACACTATATTGTTATCAAAAAACAAATTTCCAAGTTTAAAAACCAAACTTTTTATAATATATAAGTCTCTACTAAAACAGATTTGGACTTATGCTCTACAACTATGTGGGGTACAACTAAAATAAAATCCAAAATTATTAGAATATCACACTTCGCTAAATCACAAATGCTAAACCTTACATTTCAAATCTAACTCATCACAGCGGCCTACGCACAAAACTATTAAAGAAGAATTTGCTGTATAATACTCACCCTGAAAACCCACTCACCAAGGACTTAAAAATGAGATAGTGCACTAGTGCACAAATCTTTTGCTCTAAGCCATTTGACCTACCTCCAAATTGAAATGTTACTATTGGGTGACTTCTTAATCAAATAATTTGTGTAAAAAAAAACTACTCAACAGTCATCACATATGCTTATTGTGCCAATTTGTACACTGTATATTCCTCTTATAAAAAAAAAATATATTTATACCTAATAAATTTATTCTAAAATCCAAACAGATGCAGTTGAAAAACCTCGATTTTCCAAACAACAATTTTCTGTTAATTTGTATTCTTTAAGTTTTTTTAAACGCTCCTGTAAATGGCGTTCAGGCTTAAAACAATGTCTACCCGGATCACCAATCAGTATAGTTTTCCCTTTGTTACACAGTGCGTCCAGCCATTTCCACAGTACATCAGCCATATCTTGTGAATAAAACATATCTCCAACAATGATGACTTCCCATTGTGAACAATCATTGAACAAAATGTTCTTAGACAATACTTGAATGTTGATGTTGTTTAACTGAGCATTTAGTTTTGCTGCTACACATGCAACTGTTTAAAACCAAAAAATAAATTGCATGAGAAAAAATCAAATTAAAATAATTGTACCAGGATCTATGTCATTAGCCGTAATTTGACTGGCACCCGCTATAGCTGATGCAAGACTGCATGCAGCACTACCACTTCCGATATCCAAAATTGTTTTGTTGTTCACATACTTGCTGTTATCTAGTATAAACCTAAAAACCAAATGGTGAAATATTGGGTAAAGCATATTGCATAATATTAATATAAAATATAATTCTTCATTATTTGTTTTACCTGGAAATAGCTTGGCCACCAGGCCAATAAAATGCCCAGAAAGGATCATTAAACTGACATTCACTGGCAGGCGAATGCCATAGTTGGCATTGTTCAGTAATTAAATGCAATTTTATTTCTGGAGTCAAGTGGTTTGTACATACAACAGTTGCATTTTTTATTTGTTTAGCATAATATTGCTCACTACGGGTACAATAATTTTTGGAAATCGTTTTCATTGAGTCTATGATAGATCGATAACTCACATTCATTTTTAAAAAAATATATAAAGTTCAAAGGTGATTCATTTGTCATTCATGATCTACCTTATACCTAAATTATAAATCATCATTACTATGATCGTTGATTAACCAACTATAACCGGAAGGCGGAATTTATACTACCACCATCGATTATAAATTAATAATCAAGGGATTAGGGAACTACCTATACCCGTTTTAAGAGATAACTCATGACTAAATATTTAGTCATGAGATAACTGGACCGTTTCGGTTTCGCCTTCGCGCATGTAAAATTGTAAAATGATTCGATTGGTACGTCGAGAACCACGTGATCACGCTTACAACGGATAGTTGGTGGGGATGCGCGGCGGTGACCGGTTTTGGTCGTAGGACGGTTCCGTTCTCTTGTGAAAAAGTTTAGCATGCCAGACAATTTAAAATTTATAGCGCCACTAAAGTCTTTGGTCTAAAGATAATATTATTATTACTGCGACAAAGACCTACAAAATATATTAAATTTTCATTTTCGGGACCTTGATGAAAATTTGAAACAAAAATTGTAATAAAATCGAAAAAAAAAACAAAAAATACGATAACCTTTTTGTTTTTACTGAGTACAAACCACGAAGATTGGAGGCTGAAATAGTGTATTAGTAGCTAGAGGAGGCTGTGGGGTCTAACCTGAAAAATAATTAACTTGCAACTGGTTATAATCATAAATAACAGTAGTACAGTCAGAATAATTCTGTGATAGTGTGGTACAGTACAACAGGTACACTACATGTCTACTTAGGTACTACCAGTTACCACTGTTTCATTAATCTGTGCTACCACATAAGAAATAAGATCAACCCAACAAACTCGTATAAATAGTTGTGGTATGATTACGTTTTTATAGGCGTTTGTAATGTAAAGTACCTATATCGTTTAATGTTTACTTTTTGTTAAGTATTTTTTTATGGATATAATATAAATTTCCAATTATTAGTTTTGTAGGCTGCGGTTACTCATTTCAACACTGAATAGCAACATACAATATTAAAATATATTATATACCTTTAGACATATCAGTACGAATTATGCATAACACAATAATATTTGATAAGTACCTATATTTTTGATTATTTTGTTGAAAGCGTGTCCATCGAATATTCCATAACGCACTGTTTTTGCCGTTCCCGCTATTGAGATTCGCTAAACTGTTGCAAAGAACATTATGGGAGTAACCCACCTCACTGAACTATATACTTATCTGTATATAGTTCAGTGATCCCACCTACTTGGACAACTCGGACCTAATATTTTATCATAGGCGGTGATCTGTATTTTGTAATACAATTACTTTTCCGGTATTTTTAATCTCAAGTTTTAATCATTAAATATTCTTTCTACCATATTTTAAATACATTCAACAAAAAGTATAATAGATGAATAAAATTAATTTAAAAATTGTAATTGTATTTCATTAATTTCTTTTTTTATGTCCATATAGCTATTATAAATATTATACGATAACGAGAAAAGTACACTTTTTTTTAAATATAATGTAATATTTATTTTAATATAGGTAAGTTATGCCTATGCTGTTTACAATTGAAGGGGCCAGTCCGTCAGTGGATGAAGGTGTTAACAGACATTTTTTCAAAAATGCGTTTTATTGCATGAAAAAGGGTGTTATGATGTTATAAACATTATTATACCACAATTTGATAAGGGTTTATTTAGTGGTTATCAATAATAGTTATGGTTACCTACTTGTTATAAGAAGAATTGATCATTAGTTGTAACTTGTAGTGGTTAAAAGCGTAGTGTATGTTAACTTGAACAATTTCAAAAATGTTAGTTAACACATTCATCCACTGACCCCTAACAATTTAGTTTTTTTTTTATTCATTTCGATCAATACTTCGTTTAATTTCTGCCTTCTGGTGGTAAGAAATGTTTTCTTATGTTCTTCGATAGAATATACAACATTCCAAGACTAAAATTTTTTCATTCAAGGGTTTGTATTCTTTGATCAACTCTAGCTAAAAATTCACTAGAGTAAACCGGTGTAAAAAATAATGCACTGAGATATTTGGACCATATTATAATTTACATGGTTTACGTTTAAAATTTGAAACATCAGTGAATTTTTTTAATTATACGAGAATTTAATTTTTAGTTTACGTTTTATCGTTTATGTAATTTCTCATTATGGGTCACAAATATTGAAATTTCTTACAAGTTAGTAGTTAGGTACAAGGTGACAAGGTGTTTGTTAGATTCTATTAGTTATTTAATTTAAAATAATCAATATAGTATCATAAAGGAATATATAATATTACTAAAGTCTATATTAGCTACCTACCTATAACCTATATTACAAATTTACTATAATCAATGATAATGTCATATTATTAGACATGAGTCACTTAATAGGTAGTTAATATTTTAAGAACTCTATCTATAATCTAGTCATCTCTATCCAATTTTAGAGATTCGAGATCCACCCAGAATCGTGTGATGAGGTTAGAGAGTGGTTTTATTATTTTTAAAAATTTTTTATGTAAAAAAAAAAAATTAAAAAATTAAAAAAAAATACAAAAATACAAAATATAATTTTTATTTGAAAATATCTATTTCATTTTGATTATTTTTTTAATGCCATTTAGATGAAAGTTATTATTTATTACCATGGTGACTACATTAATACATAATTCGTACCCCCTACTGGCCAACTACATAATATATAATTTAAAGCGGTAGCTAATTTAGAACTTTTGGTAGCAGTGTCATATGCTATCTACGTAATAAATGGTATCTACAAATTTTAATACACAATATCATATGCTATCTACGTATAAATGATTTATAATTATATAAAAAAAATCTTACTTTGTTTTAAACCAGAGCACTTCATAAATAAATGAAGATTGCCAATGGATGTTCTCAATTAAAGTTGAAAAGTATTCTTCATATCATTAAAAAATGTTTCCAAAATATTTGTTGTATTTATGGAGCTCCACCATTCTTTTTTAAGCTGCATTTCTAGCAAATTAGTGACACCGTGCAATTTTATACCATATTTCACCTTTATATGTTGCCAATAATATTCAACTGCTGTAAGCTTTTAATTCATCTGAGAAAATGGAAGTCCCCGGCTGAATTTCTCTTTGAATAATTGGAAACAAAGTGGCTCGGTCTCTTTTTTGACAACACATTGACTACAACACATTCCAAACACCCACAGTCATTGTACGCGTAAACCGTAATTTCAATTGGTTATTTAAGTATCAGAACTGCTACATTCTGATTCCACAATTACTTCTCTAGGTGGACAATTTCCTAGACGTAGACGACCATTAATATCGACTTAGGTGAAAAACGGATTTTTTTACGAATGGACTGATAATTTTGACAACCACGTGTTTGGAGAACGCCACCACACACTTCATTGTTAACCTTATTGATTTTTTCACAAAATTCTTGTTTAAGTAATACACCTTTTTGTTTTAAAAAATTCACACAAGTATCATCAGTATAAATCATATGTCTATATAAATCAACAATTGAACTCATATTGAACACAAATACAAATGACAAACACACAAGAAAAGTTCACAGGCACAACTAATTATTGAAAACCCCTAGGTCTAACCTTGTAGAATGTAGATAAATATTATTACGATTGTATAGATAACATGAGACGATAAATAGTATTTGTAGATAGCATAAGGCACTAATATTTATTGCGTAGACAGCATACAACACCGCTACCGAACTTTTGTTATAGAACGTCATGTCGTCATCAATAATTTAATAATACTATAATAATTAAATGTACATTTGTCCACTCAAATTTTAATTAAAAAAAAAATAAAATAGATTTCTAGGGCTAAGCAATTGCATTAGGTAAACGTCGTTCACCACGCCAGTACGCCACTGCTGGAAATGAATATTCATTATATACATCATATGATGTGATATTACTGATATTTACTTATGTAGGTACTTATGGAGTTGATAAAATTTGTACAGACGATATCTAATAATAATGTAGAGAGTCATTTGTACTTTACATCTGTGTTGATATGTACTAAAAGTCTAAAAATGCATAACTAGAGTATACTTTAAAAATTCAAAAACTAGTACTTACCTATTCACACTACCACTAGGTAGGTACTACTCGCATTGATTGTAAATTTGTAAATACTAATATTTATAAATTATAATGAATGCTACATTTCTACTATACCAATTAAAAATTAACTTCATAATTATTAGTTTCTAAAATTTATATTCAAAACTACCAATCTTTAGATATCTTTTGTGAACTCATGGGCGGCCCCCACACGAACATATTTAGTGGGACACATTATCTTCTTGGAGAATAAATAAAAATAAAAATAAATAAAATAGGTATATATACCTATATTTTATAGGTAGGTACCTATAATCTTTATGTTATAACTGATGAAATTATAATATGTTTTGAATAATGTTTATATAAATTAATTACTTAATATACTTTTTTCGTAAATAATTTATTTATTAATACATGGGTACCTACCTATGTTTATCAATTTAATCTAACTTTTTCATCATATGTTTTTGAGTACCTATACACAATTTACTTCACTTAATTATAATAATAAAACAAATTGAGTTGTATTCAATTAAAATTAAAAAAAAAATTATGTTTTAAACCATAAATTTAAATAGGAACTCATATATATATAATTAAATGTTTTGTATCTATATAATTATAAATGGGTAATATGGTAGGTATCAGATAATAGCAACACAAAAAACAAGATGTTTTTTTGTTATAAAATTTAAAATAGTTATTAATTTATACACATGTTTTTTAAGACACATTGCCACCTTGGTTATATAATTAATTCAGGATAATGTATTTTTATGATAAATTGATTTATATTTGTATATTATTATACGTCATTACTTTTTTTGTGACTCAGTTATAATATTAAAATTTATTTTTATTCAAGTTAAAAATTGTTAGTAGATGAAAAAATAAACCCTACCTA